GCTGCGCTGCAATCCCAAAGGCACACGGTTCGAATCTACCAGATGCTCTGCTGGAGAAGGAGGGGCAATCTCCTCCTGTGCCAGTTGGATCAGATTCGATGGCACACAACAACAACAACAACAACAACAAAACCAATAACAAAACCACCAACAAATAGGTCTGTCTTGGAGAGGGTGAAACCAAGTCTCTCCTTGGAGGCTAGGCATTTTGTAGCTCTGTCTCACATACTTTGGGCACGTGGCCAGGAGAGACTGGTCCTTGGGGAAGGACATCATGCTCGGAAGGGTGGATGGATAGCACAGGAGAGGAAGACCCCAGATGAGATGGATTGATACAGTGACTGGGGCAATGGGAGTGGGTGTGTCGGAATCAGTGAGACTGGCTCAGGACAGGGCAGGGTTCAGAGCTGCTGGACATAGGGTTGCTACGGGTCACAGGCGTCTTGAAGGCACAGAACAACAATAATTATTCTTAAAGAAATCTTTATGGAAGTAGGCCACCACATCTTTCTCCCACATAGCAGCTCATGGATTTGAACCGCTGACCGTGTTGTGAACACCAGGGTTCCTGGTGCACCATTTACTCAGTCAATACCACCGTCTCAGAACCAAGTCACGACTTAACCTCCTTGGAGTTTCCTAGGCTGTAAATCACACAGGAGGAGATGGCCTCGTTTTCATGCCAGGAGGAGCTGGTGGATTTGAACCTTCGGGTGAGCACCCCAACTCCGTCCAGGTTATGCCCTCAGAAGGCCACAGCTCACTCCCTCCTCACTTGCTGGCCACGGTCATGCTTTGACCTCATTAAACCTCTTTCTTCATTCCTCTGACCCAGTGGAGCGACAGCTGCCCGCCAGGCCCAGACTGCACGCAGCGTGGGAACCAAACAGGCCTGTACCCTAGTACAGAGGTCACCCCGGAGCCAGAGTGGAGCTACAGGCCAGGAACAGAAGGTCTCCAGCACCTGCCTGGGGATACACACAGAGAAATCAGCCAGGCAGGAATGCAGGTGGGGCTCACTCACCCCCAAACTCAAGCACAGATGGCCTGGGGGGGTGGAGGAGCATTCGATGGCCTCGGGGGGAGCATTCCTGGGGAGGAGGTGGGGCAGGACCAGGGACTGGAGGGAGCAGGGAGTATCAGCGATGCATTGGATGCGGAACTGGAGGTGGGAGACCTGGAGAAGGCAGGCGGCATTACCCAGAGGACAAGGGACAGCACCAATCGAGGCTCCAATCCCAGCTCTGCCCGGAACTTTTCGTGAAAACAACAGCGTACTTTGGGTAGATGTCATCAGGAAGGGCCAGTGTCTGTGGAAGGACATCATCATACTTGCAAAAGCAGATCAAGGAAAGATGAATTGTCACAGAGGTTGCAACTATGGAGAGATTGAAAGATTTGACAGGAGCGGATTCTGTTATACACAGGGTCACTTGGAGCTGATTTCATGGCAGTTAGCAATGGCACTTAGGGAGCTCTGGGGGTTCGGGGGTAAGGAGCTGCACTGCCAACCCACAAGCTTGGGGTTCAAATCCACCGGCCACTCTGTGGGGGAAAAGATGGGCAGTCTCCTCCCTTGACATTGACTGCCTCCAAAAAAATCCTGCTGGAGGCGCGGCTGTGGGTTGGTCCCAACTCAACAGTACACAACAATATCTACCTTCAAGTTTACCCTGATTTAGAATATTCAGTTAGAGGAAGCTCTGGTGGCCTAGTGGCAAGAAGCTGCACTCCAATCCCAGAGGTGAGAGGTTTGAATCCGCCAGATGCTCTGCTGGAGAAGGAGGGACAATCTCCTCCTGTACCAGTCAGATCCAATTTGATGGTACACACACACACTAAATAATTACATTTTAAAAATTCTTTAAAAAGAAAAGATTATTCAGTTAGCAGCCGCCAAGGGACTCTGGTGGTGTGTGCGTAGCATGCTAATCTGCAAACTGAAAGTTGACAGTTCAAATCCACCAACCACCCCGAGAGACAAAGATGGGTCAGTTCCTCCTGTTTAATACAGGCGGCCGCTTGAAATCGTCAGGAAAGTCTCCATTGCTTGGACCGGACTCCGTGGCACTAGAAGTACTTGTGTGGCCGTGCCATTCAGTTCCTCTTCCCAAATCTCCATTTTTCTCCTTGGCAGCATCATAGCAGAGCCTCTGGGTGGAACACGTGGTTGAGACCCTTGGACTCTGGCTCCAGGCCAGCAGAAATGCCTCGAAAGGAGGGCAGGATGGTCCACGAGGGGAAACTTAGCCAAGCAGCCGGCTTCAGCCTCCGACCTCGGTCACCGCCCAGAGCTGCCTCCGCCACATCGTGCAATAACAGCAGTTCAGATTGAATACACAGACACTCAGAAGCAGCCAGGCAGCCAGGAGACCCGGCTGGGATGGTCTGCTAACAGTCAGGTGGCCAGTTTGAACCCACCCACTGCTCTATGGAAGAAGGATGAGGCCAGTCCACTTCCATAAAGATGTAGAGCCTCACAAACCTCCCGGGGCAGCTCCACTCTGTCCTAATAGGGTGACTGTGGTTCATTTCACAGTTTAGATTTGTTTTTTTTTATTTTATTTTGTAACACTTCTGTTATGCCATTTTCCAGCCAGGTTAAGTCTTTCAAATTTTTTCCTCCCCCTAGTTAAGATTAAGAAGTTTATTTACTAGTAGCAAGGCGCTGCACTGCAATCCCAGACGTATGCAGTTCAAATCCACCAGATGCTCTGCTGGAGAAGGAGGGGGCAATCTCCTCCTGTACCAGTCAGATCTGATTTGGCGGTACACATAAAAATAATACCATTTTTTTAAAAAAGAAGTTTATTTATAGGGAGCCCTGGTAGCCTAGTGGCAAGAAGCTGTGCTGCAATCCTGAAGGTGCGTGGTTCAAATATACCAAATGCTTGGCTGGAGAAGGAGGGGCAATCTCCTCTTGTACCAGTCAGATCCGAGGGTACACAACAAGAAAAAAAAAGAAGTTTATGTAAGTTTGTCCCCTTTGATTTTGCCATGTACAAGGAAATATTTCTAGCATATATTAAAATGAATGTAAAAATATCTTTAAAAACATATTTGTTTTATACGGTTCGAATCCACCAGATGCTCTGCTGGAGAAGAAGGAACAATCTCCTCCTGTACCAAGTAGATCCAATTTGACGGTACAAACACACACAAATGATAAAATAAAAAAAATTAATTTGTGGGTATAGACTCTTTCTCCTGTCCATGTCCATTCATCTTAGCTGTCTGCCTGTGTGGACAATTGTAGATTAATGTTTATTACGGCTGATAATAGGCAGCTCTGGTGGCCTAGTGGCAAGAAGCTGCACTGCAATCCTGAAGGCATGGGGTTTGAGGCCACCAGCTGCTCTGTGGGAGAAGGATGGGCAATCTCCTCCTGTGTGATTAACTGCCTCTGAAAACCTGCTGGAGGGCCAGCTCTGGGTGGGGTTCTGATTGGACGGTACACAAGAACAACACAGCCAATAATAGTACGTAGCAATGTTTACCACTGTTGACAATATTTCGTGTGTACCTCCTTCAAATCTTTTTCCTATCGTTAGTGATGTTGTGCTGATCATCCTTTCATTAAAAAATATCTTTAATGATTTTTTAAAAAAATTTTTATTCTTTTTTGTGTGTGTACCGTCAAATTGGATCTGACTGGCACAGCAGATTGCATCTGCTGGATTCGAACCGTGTGCCTCAGGGATTGCAGTGCAGCTTCTTGCCACTAGGCCACCAGAGCTCCCTGACAAACATCTTAATATGCATCTATTGTTGCTGTTGTTGTTAGATGCTATTGCGTCGACTGTGACTCAAAGCAACCCTATGAACAGCAGATCTGCACCTCACACACTCGAGCCTGTTGTTATGTCACTGTGTTAATCCATCTTGTTGAAGGTTTCCCCCTCTTTCTCTGACCCTCTGTTTTTCCCAGAATGTCGTCTCTTTTCAAAGACTGGCCCTTCCTGACAACTATTTTCTATTTATTGATTTCTCTCCTTCCTCCCATCTCCAGCAACCACTGAAGAATATTTTTCTACGTATAAACTTTCCTTAGCTTCTTCTAATAATGGATTCATACAATATTTGTCCTTTTTTGAATTTTTGTAATTAAGTTTTATTACGTGTGTGTGTGTGTGTGTGTGTGTGTGTGTGTGTGTACCGTCAAATCGGATCTGACTGGTTCAGGAGGAGATTGCCCCTCCTTCTCCAGCAGAGCATCTGGGGGATTCGAACTGCATACCTCTGGGATTGCAGTGCAGCTTCTTGCCACTAGGCCACCAGAGCTCCCTCAATATTTATCCTTTTGTGACTGACTTCTTTCACTCCACATACATCCTCCAGATTAATCAACATCCTTAGGTATTTGATGAATTCGTCATTATTTATTGGTGCTGCGTAATATTCCGTTGTGTGTATGTACCACTGTTTGTGTATCTATTTACCCATTGAAGGACACTTGGGTTTGTTTCCATCTCTTTGCTGTTGTCCGTAATTCTTCGATGAATAACATGGCCACTGAATTCCAACTCAGAGCAAGGTTTTCCAACCTCTGTAAGGTTTATGAGGCTGTAAATCATCACAGGAGAATTCCCATATTTCTCCTGATGGATTTGAACTGTTGACCTTTTGGTTAGCAGTACAACTCATTCCCCAAGAGGCCATCAGGGCTCCTGCAGTGAATATGAATGTTCCTTCTCCAGCTCTTATTTGCTCAAGATATATCCCTCGTAGTGGGGTTCCTGGATCAAATGGACACCCTCACTTTGTGGATGAAGAAGGGAGACTAAGAAATAAGTGAGTCAGTTTTGGAGGGGCCCCTATGTCCTGGATTGCTCTCCCCATCTGCCCTGATTCAGATTCCTCTGCTACTGTCCACCCTGCACGGTTCCTGAGGCCTCAGCTGTAAAGATGGACACCCCAGTGTCATCTCCTGGATTAGAAGACCCCGGACTCCCCCACCCTTCCTCCCTGATTCTCACACTAACTTCCCCTTCTCTTTGCAGCGAGAACTTGCCCGGAGAATACTTCCGGTACAAAGGCATCCCTTTCCCCGTGGGCATCTACTCAGCCGAGAGCATCAGCACGGTGGAGAACGCGCTGGAAGTGCGGGACGACGACATCTTCATCGTCACCTACCCCAAGTCAGGTACCCTAGTGGGCGGGCGCCGTGGGGGGACCAGACACGGACATTGTCATTTGTTGTTAACATGCCTTCTCCTTTCCCATCCCTGGTAACCTATCCAAAAGTGACTCCCCCCAGCCCCATCCGGCACAGGAGGAGATTGCCCCTCCTTCTCCAGCGGAGCATCTGGTGGATTTGAACCACACACCTTCCTGATTGCAGCACAGCTTCTTGCCATTAGGCCACCGGAGCTCCCTACCAAAAATGACTCTTAAGTGTATACCTTTCTTTAACGTTTCCCTCTAACCTCTCAATTTACAGCTAAACGATAAATATGAAAATACTAGAGAGGTACGCTCACTTAAAAAAATAGATATAGGGAGCTCTGGTGGCCTAGTGGCAAGAAGCTGCACTGCAATCCCAGAGGTATGCAGTTCGAATCCACCAGATGCTCTGCTGGAGAAGGAGGGGGAAATCTCCTCTTGTGCCAGTCAGATCTGATTTGACGGTACACACACACACACACACACACACACACACACACAAAATTAAATACATTTACAAGTCAAAGCTAAATAAAGTAACTTAAAACAGTTAAAAATCATTGTTCTTTAAAAAAAATCACTATGCCTGGAGAGTGAATGGGGAGACCAAGATGAGGGGCAGGAGTTGACTGTTGTTGCTCTGAACTTTTTGTTAAAGGTTATTTTTAAGTTGTTACATATATTTTAGGATGAAAACAGAGCTGAAGGACTAAATGGGAAACGGAAGTCAGAAAGGCGTAGCAAAGAAGGATGAGTGGAGACAGGACACACAGGGAGGAGGTGGGAAGAGTGCTGCACTCCTTTGAGTCTTGCAGGCAATGCCGCAAACTTAAAAGTATGTGAATTGCTGCATGGAAAGCCAATGTGCCCTACCAATTTTCACCTAAATAATAATTATTTTAAAAAGTAATGAAGAAAAAGAAAACCCTATGAGTGGCAGTGACAGTGGCTCTACAATTGGAAGAAGATAATCCATGTCACTGAATCTCAGTGCAGACACTCTTGATGGCCCTCTGTTCAGCTGTGCTTATTCTCTAAAGCAACAAAAGCCACAGATGTTTAATACTTTAAAATTATATTTTACTATTTATTTCTACTCTTTTAAAAACATAATAAATATTTATTTGTAATTTTAAAAATATATAACTCATATTTTTAAATTTATTTATACCAAAACAATTCACCCATTTTTGTGCGTCTGTTACAGGCCATGGTCTTTGTTATCATTTGTTAGGTGTCAGAGAGTTGGACAATGACTAGGGAGGACAGAAGGAGAATTGATGCCTTTGAGCTGTGGTGCTGGAGAAGAGTATTGAGTGTACCATAGACTGCTAGGGAAACAAACAGATTTGTCCTGGAGAGGATTAAGCCAGGCTGCTCCTTGGAGGCAAGGATTCTGAGGCTCCGTCTGACATACTTTGGACATGTTGCAAGGAGGGAACGGTCCTTGGAGAAGGACGTCATGCTTGGGAGTGTGGAGGGACAGCGCAGGAGAGGAAGACCCTAGATGGGGTGGATTGATTTAGTAACTGCAGCAATTGGCGTCAAGATGATGGGATGGGACAGGACAGAGTTCAAGCATGATGTCCCTCTCCAAGGAATAGCCTCCTACAACATGCCCAAAGTGTGTCAGACAAAGCTTCACCTTGTTTGCTTCCAAACAACACACTGGTTGGACTTTCTCAAAAAGGGTTGGTCTGCTAGTAGTGCATGGAATATTCGGTACTCTTCTCCAACAGCACAACTCAAAGGCATCAATTCTTCTTCTGTCCTTCTTATTCATCATCCAGCTCTCAGATGCTAGGGAGATACAAGTTTTATCCCACTAAGATTCATACCAAGAAAAGAAATAGGTCTGTCTTGGAGAGGGTGAAAGCAAGTTTCTCCTTGGAAGCTCCATCTCACATACTTTGGGCACGTGGCTAGGTGAGAACAGTCCTTGGAGAAGAACATCACGCGCGGAAGGGTGGAGGGACAGAGCAGGAGAAAAAGACCCTGGATGAGATGGATTTTGATACAGTAACTGGGACAATGGGGGTTAGTGTGTTAGAATTAGTGAGACTGGCTCAGAACAGTGCAGCATTCAGAGCTGCTGTATATAGGGTCGCTATTGGTCGCCGGCGACTCAAAGGCACGTAACAACAACAAGATTCGTACCCTTGGAAAAGTGCCGGAGAGTTACTGAGTTGGAATTGGTTCTATATCGCAGGCTTTTTGGTCATGGCTAATGAAGAAGCCCTGGTGGCATTGTGTGTTAGTTATTGAACTCTTAATCAAAAGATTGGCAGTTTGAATCCCCCAGGGACTCTGTGGGAGAAAGATGGGCAGTTTCATCCCATTAAGATTTATAATCTCATAGATGCTGTGGAAGGTCACCATGTATCGGAATTAACGTAATGACAGTGAGTTTAGGGACTTTATACGTTGTTATTGTTGTTGTTAAGTGCCGTCAAGTTGCAGGCGACTCATAGCGACCCTATGAAGGAGAGTCCTCAACGCTTGGGTGCCTTTCATCCTCTCTCCAGGTTCATAGGGTTTCTGGAAGCAAGCTATTACAGAAGTGGATGCCACTCCTCCTTCCAAGCTTGTTTTCATCGGGGAGCTCCACCCCACTCTCTGTCCGCATTGGGTAACCAGCCATTAATGCATTTGACACATCAGTGTCACGGTGTTCAGCCTCACAGCAACCACAAGTACCGCTGTATGGGAACTTGTACACCAGGACTAGAGGACCTAGAGGAATGTCGGAACAAAAACATTGAAAGACAGGCCCGAGGGCCGCGGATGAAAAGTCACCCACCTTTGGCTTGGTAGCATCGCTTTCTGTCCACTGGGCCAAGGGATCTTGCTCTATCTTGACGTTATTGTTGTTAAGTGAAATAAAAAGATTGATTGCAATGGGAAAATCAGGTCTGATGTCCACAGAGTTGCTAGCAGTCATAGTTGACCTGATGACACACAACAACAACAACAACAAAATAGTAATAGTAGGAGTACTGGAGTACTAGCAGCATCAAGATTCCACTTAATTTTGGGTCAGGGGGACAATGACTAAGATCTGCCCAAAGCTCACACTTTTTATCAGTTCAGAAGCCAGCTGTCCCTCCATATTATACTATGTTTTTACTCTGGGCTCAAGAATCTGTTGCAGTGGCCCCATAGACTTCACAGACCATTCTAAGAGTTGAATGATTTATTAAGGTGCAAGCTGGGTTTAAGAAGAGGCCATGGCATGAGGGATATTATAGTCAATATTAGAAGAATCTTAGATGAAAGCAGACTACCAGAGAAATGTCTGTGTTTTATTGACTACGCAAAGGCATTTAACTATAATAATTGTGTGGGTCACAATAAATTGTGGCTGACTTTGAGAAGAATGGAATCCCAGAACACTTAATTGTGCTCATGCGAATCTTGGGTCAGCAAACAGTTGTCAGAACAGAGCAAGGAAACACTGCATAGCTTAAAATCAGGAAAGTTGTACATCAGGGATGCATCTTATCGCCATACCTTTTCAATCTATCTCTGAAATAGATCATTTGGGAGGCTGGACTTTCTGAGGAGGAATGTGGTATCAGAATTGGAGGAAGACTCATCAACAACCTACCTGTGTTATTCACAAGACACAACCTTGTTTGCTGGAACTAAGTTGGATGTTAGGTGTTTAGTGCAAAATGCCAAGGATTGCAGTCTCCAATACGGCTTGAATCTTAATATCAAGAAAACAAAGATTCTTACCTCAGGAACAATAGGCAGCATCATGTTGGATGGAGAAGGAATTGAGATTGTTCGCCCTGTCAGCTGGCTTGGTTCCACAATCAACACTTTTGGTACCAGCAGTCAGGAAATCAAAAGAAGAATGGCATTGGGAAAATCTACTGTCAGCAACCTCTCTAGAGTACTGAAGAGCAATGATGTTTGTCTAGAGACTAAGGTGTGCCTGATCCTAGTCTTTTCAGTTACTTACTGTGCATCAAAGAGCTGGACAATGATTGAAAATGATAGAAGAATAGATTCCTTTGAGTTGTGGTGCTGGAGAAGAGCATTGAACATACTGTGGACTGCCAGAAAACAAAGAGAACTGTCCTGGAGAGAATGAAACCAAGCTGCTCCTTGAAGGCAAGGATTTTGAAGCTCTGTCCCACATAGTTTGGGCATGTTGCCAGGAGGGACCAATCCTTGGAAAAGGACATCATGCTTGGGAGGGTGTAGGGAGGAAAAGCGGAAGACCCTGGATGAGATGGATTGACTCAGTAAGTGAGATAGTGGGGGTGTGTCAGAAACAATAACACTGGCTCAGAATAGGACAGGGGTCAGAACTATTGTACATAGGGTGGCTTTGAGTCATAGGCAACTCAAAGGTACATAACAACAACAGGATACAACTCAAGATTAGGAAGTGTGTGACCAAGTCTCTTCTTGCAGGATTAATGCTCTTGACCCTTGCTGCAACAATTTCAGGAGATTCTTTGCCTCTTCTCTCTCTTCTTTTCCTCTCTTCTCACATCTGATTCTGCCTGCTCCCATCTTCCTGTTTCTTTTTGCCTCCAAATCCTCTGTGCATTTGCCTGCACATAGATCACACCTCCCCTGAGGATCACACTTCCCCTCTCCTCTCTCAGAGGACCACAGGCACTTCATTTGCATATTGGGTTCCAGACACTTCATTTGCATACTTTATTGACCAATCCCTGCAAGGCACATACAAATCCCAGCAGAGGCAGCAGGCCAGGGTCAGACAAAAAGATATCAAACCATCAAATTGTTCACAGTTTACTCAAAAAAGGGCCAATGAACCCTAACAAAAGGGACAACTGTCTAGGGGCTTAGAGAGGAAATCTCTTCAAACTGTTTTTGCAAAGAACCAAGACAAAAGCAGCATAAAGGAGGAACTCATTTCACTATGGAAGGTATGTTTTCCTGTATTTATTAGCCACCGAATATCTCCGTTTGTAAAGTCTTTTTAAATCTCTTTCCCTT